TGAGCCTTGAATCTTGAATCTTGAATCCCAAGAGGTTGGATTGAAGAAGTTTATTCGGAGCCTTGAATCTTGAATCTTGAATCCAAAGATGTTGGATTGAAGAAGTTTTTTCTGAGCCTTGAATCTTGAATCTTGAATCCCAAGAGGTTGGATTGAAGAAGTTTATTCGGAGCCTTGAATCTTGAATCCTGAATCCAAAGAGGTTGGATTGAAGAAGTTTATTCGGAGCCTTGAATCTTGAATCTTGAATCCAAAGAGGTTGGATTGAAGAAGTTTTTTCTGAGCCTTGAACCTTGGATCTTGAACCCAAAGAGGTTGGATTGAAGAAGTTTATTCGGAGCCTTGAATCTTGAATCCTGAATCCAAAGAGGTTGGATTGAAGAAGTTTTTTCTGAGCCTTGAACCTTGAATCTTGAACCCAAAGAGGTTGGATTGAAGTTTTTTTTTTTGCTGAGCCTTGAATCTTGAATCCAGATACTTAGAATAATATAAGTCACCAGACATTGCAAGTTCTTGCAATTTATTTTAAATGATCGGCCTGTCTGCTAAGGGCATTCCTCAAATAAACTTGCTTACCCTGTAAAAGAAAACTCTAAAGCCCATTATTTTGTCTTTGTTTTCCTTCAACTTTGGCATAAATAACGAAAAACATAAAAAATGCATTAAAGGCAATTAGATTCATCATAATAAAATAAAATAAGTTGAAAAAGAACCTTCTGCAATCTTAAACAGAAAATAATTAGTTTAACAAAAAAGAAAAAATCAACAATAATAGGTAAAAATACATGAACCCATCCGATAACAATACCTCTTTATCTACAGAAAAATCAAAACCTTCCCAGCAAAATGTATTAGAAAGGGTTGCAGTTAGATCGGCACAGAAAATTTTCTCTAAAAACACATGGTTGGAATTTATGTTTAGGAAAAAAAGGTAATTGATGATAAAACCCCTGAAATGCTATCAAAAAAATAAAACAAATCATTCTGAAAAAACATGTTCAAGATAAAAAGGCAAGTTGATTAACTTAAAACAAGATCCTCAGAATACAGAGCTGAAACGAACCAATAAAAATATAGGATCTTTTGAAATAAAAATACAGATTCACCCAATGCTAGAAACTCTTTTAATACCTATAAACGTATCACAAAATTAAGAACTATAAAAAAGTAAGACAATTTATAATATTACAAATATACTAAAAACTGACATATTTTTTCACTTCTTAATTTATTATCATCAAAATCATTTATGTTTAGCAAACAATATATCTAACTCAAGCACCCCTGGATTTAAAGCAATGAAAATACAAGATCATTTGCATTCTACAGATTTTATAAATGAATCATTACAGCAAAAAACATCAACTCTTCTACAAAAAAAAATGTAGAGGCTGAAGAGGGAATTAATGAAAATCACGTAGATTCACAAGAACAAATAAGACAATTAACATCAAATGAGAATATAACTGATTATTGCCAATTTACTATGCAAAGCTTGATGGAATGTTATGAAATTGTAGGAGGATTAAAAAGGTAATTGCACTATAAAATTAATATGTCTAAAAAATATACTTGGAGATCAGTCGTATACATATCTATTATACTTATATATATATATACACCTTTATTATCTGCAAAATCTTACGTAAATAAAAATGTAAAATCTCAAGATGCACCAACTATATCATCTAATCTTGCACAAGAGCTCAGCTTTGGTAGAAGCTAAAACCTTTCAAATTTCTACAGAAAATTTTGTAAACATGAATTCCACCAGTAGTCATTGTAAAAAAAACACTACCTTACAAAAAGTTGTATTCATCAAAAAAGAAAAAGATAATATGCTATACTCTGTAAAAACAGATAACGCAATTTCAATCCATCTATTCCGCCTATCATATTTCTGCAAATCCTGAAGGTTATGTAAAAAATACCAGATGTTGTGGAAGATATTGGAAAAGCAGACTTGCAAGAATCAGATCATAGATATAGAATTCGTGCTGATATACTAAAAATGTCTGAAACCATAAAAGAAAACATTGTATAAATATAGTGAAAAATATGTCAAATGTAGATGTTGCAGCGCTATGCTGCAGCTACATATGTGGGCAGGATGTGTCCAGGCGCATGCGCCCAAGATACTTTCCTGATGCAGTGCTACAATAGGTGAGAAGATAAGAAGGAAGACAAGGCATTCAAGGACATCTAATGCACAAAATGTAGGTCTTGGGGGTGGGGTAGTGTATATATATATATATACATGCTCATGTACAATATATATATATATATAAGACTTAATACATATGTACATATACATGCTATATTCTGTATTCTATATTTTAATTTTTCTATTATACATTATATATATTATCTATTAGATATTATATATTATCTCTTATATACTACATGTCATATATCATATATCAAATATCATACATCATATATATCATATATATATATCATATATATCATATATATAATATATATATCATATATATATATATCATATGTATCATATATATCATATATCATATATATCATATATATCATATATATATATATCATATATGTCATATATATCATATATATCATATATATCATATATATCATATATATCATATATATACATATCATATATATCATATATATCATATATATCATATATATCATATATATCATATATATCATATATATCATATATATCATATATATATATCATATATATATATATCATATATATCATATATATATATATCATATATATATCATATGTATCATATATATATATATATATCATATATATCATATATGTCATATATATCATATATATCATATATATCATATATATCATATATATCATATGTCATATATATCATATATATCATATATATCATATATATCATATATATCATATATATCATATATATCACATATATCATATATATCATATATATCATATATATCATATATATATCATATATATCATATATATCATATATATCATATATATCATATATATCATATATATCATATATATCAATATATATCATATATATCATATATATCATATATATATATCATATATATATATCATATTATATAGATCATATATATATATCATATATATATATCATATATATATCATATATATAATCATATATATAACATCATATCATATATATATCATATATATATCATATATAGATCATATATATCCATATATATCTATCATCATATATCATATATATCATATATATCATATATATCATATATATCATATATATCATATATATCATATATATCATATATATCATATATATCATATATATCATATATATGTCATACATTTCATATATATATCATATATATCATATATATATCATATATATCATACATATCATATATATATCATATATATATATATCATACATATCATATATATCATATATATATATCATATATATCATATATATCATATATATATATCATATATATATATCATATATGTCATATATATCATATATGTCATATATATCATTTATATAATATATATCATATGCGAGAGCCAATCCCGGCGCGGCCGCCCTACAATCCCTTTTCCTGAGATACAAATGGGGGCTTGAGTCGGAATGTCCAATCGACCATGTCTATGTGATGATTGTGACCCAGTGGAATCTGCACGGGTCCAAAATTCAAAAAAAGTTAAAAGACTCTCAAGCCTGTGCCGTGTGAATCGCATAAACAGTCAATGTTCACCATCGCATCGCATTCATTGTTTTGTTGTAATGTGTGCACTCCAAGCTGCTTTCGACGTTTTCCAGACATAAGTTCTTCATCATATACTATTCTCCATCGACAGTTTCTGTGTAAAAACAGCATCACCTGATGATTCTCATTGTCCTTCGTTAAGGAATTTGCCAGCTGACTGTCCCCATTCACCCAGCGGACTATCACTCCGCATGATTCCATGGCTTCTTTCAAACATAAAGTCTCCAAATCACTACGCTTCTCAGCACCACGCAGTGTCAGAATGGGTTGTGTCAAACGGTCATAAACATTCTTGCTATCGCTCACCAGGGCACCTGTCACATTTCTGACTGTAGCATCACAGTCCCAGACATTTGCATGAAAGCCCAAAAATTCAGCTAATTGAAATCGAATTGCATATAGTTGATCTTCACCATCAACTGCTGCTCGAGTCTCTGCCGAAGCACTGGATCGGCATACCCTAGTAATCTTTGAGGAGGTCCAATAAACTGGTGTAATAGGTTCCAAATTTCCTTCCAAAATCTGTTTTGAGGCGCAGCCTACTAAAACACCTTTTGTACTGCTACCGTCTTCTCGATTGGCATGTGATGCATCCACCCATGCTACCACTATCAGTTGATCCAATGGAATTGGGTGAACCCAAATCTTTTGTGACTTCCTTGCTTTGGCTTGTTTCAAAAGCTTGTTGGTCTGAATCAGATCATAAACAGTAGCATGGTTCACTCTGGACAGCTATAAGCCCACCGGCGCACTCATTTCCATCGCCAGTTGACCCGCGTGCCATGATAGTGCACCCAAAACACTTCGCATCTGTTGTCGTTCTGAGGCAGTAGCTGGTGATTCCATTTCGTGCCAGCGTTTCTTTGACATGAACACTTCATCGATTTGGTTCACGTATTCTGGCTGAGTCAGTAGGAAGCCACCATCTTCTTGTCTTTGGATGGTAACTCCACATTGTACAAAGCTATTCACTTCCCATTCGCCCCAGCGAAATCGTTCTTGTATTTGCTTGCAGATGTTTTGCCACCTGGTATCGGTGGGACTTCCTGCAAACATGAAATCATCTACATGTCCACATATCCAACCAATTGGTTCTCCTTCAGGATTGAATAGTCCCCAAACGCAAGGATCAGAAACTTGTCGTAGAAAACCTAGTTCTTCCAGAAAGGAGTTGACAGTCAAATACCATTCTAGTGGAGCTTCTACAAGGCCGTATGCTGCACGAGTCAGTCGTGTCACGCTTCCAGGTTCCAGCTGTAGAGCTTCACAGATTTCTGGTAGAGGAGCACATAGAACTTGTCTTTGAAATTCTCTTCCTGGCAGGAATGCTCCTGAGACGTCACCCTTTGCTACATGGAAACCACATGACGCCGCCAGTTGTAAAAACAGTTGTTTTGATGTTCTGCTCACTGTCGGACTGTATGTCGGTCTTCTCTCATATTGAGGATCCATATATCCCAAAATCACTGCTCGTGCTTTTGGTTTTCTCTGTTGAGTTTCAGGATTAACTTTCCAGGTGAGCACCCATCTCATGTGCATCACTTGCGAAGGATCCGGTTTGAAAGACTCTGGCAGTTTCTCGAAGGCCTTGGCCAAGATGAAGTTCTTCACCTCGATTCCTTTTGCCTCCTTGAAAGCAGCGTGTTCTTCTGGTGTCATGCGTCTTTCAGATACCTCAACATGGTTTTTCTTTATCTGTTTCAACATGAAGGCCTCTGGATCTCTGAGCCAGGCAGGATTCTTTGCCGCCTTTCCAGTAGGCAGATCAATATCAATGGAAATACAAGCAAGCTCATCTTGTAAATGTTGTGATGGTGTCTGACTAGCCAGTGCTAGGAGAACATCAGGAATTGGCTCAGTCTGAAAAAGGGCTTGACTTTGCTTGTATCTCGCTCTGTGTGTCGGTGCAGGCCAGTCTGTTTTTCTCTTCTCTCCTGTCTCCGGGCGTGGTGAATTTGCCCAGTAGGAGTATATTCATCCTCCATTTGTTCATCTACTTGTGGCAGGCCAGTTGGGAGATCGTCTTCGAGCTCCATGTCTTCCAAATCATGTTGATCCCAGTCGTTGGAAATGTCATCAAAAACTTGTCGGCTAGCGTCAGAAACTATGTTGCTAATGGTCCATGGCACAGGCTGGTGGGGATCGATTAGCTCACTAAGAGCTTCCCCCCTGTCACTTGCAGGTCTCAGTTGTTGAGGCGAAGCCTTGATCAAATGGTTTCCCCTGTAGAGCCAAACTACGCTACCTGGTCTTGACATACCCTGTTGATCAACCCTGGTTTCCGTGGCCAAAACCCTGGCAGGCCCCAAATATTTCCCCTTTTTGAAGGGATGACGCGCCTCAGATTTGGGGATTTGTTTTCTCCAGTAAAACACCAGTTGACCAGGATAAAAATGTTGAAGCTTTCGGGGTCCAGAACCAATAGCACGTTCCAGGCGCCATTTCGCCTGTTCATCCAAAAACGCCCTTTCCGCTTGGATCATGGATTTCACATCTCTGCCAAATTCCGCAGATATTCCGGATTCGGTCAAAACAGGCATGTCATGATTACCCCAATCCCCCAAGACACCAGTTCCTTCAGGGTTACGCCCAAACGCATGTTGGAGGGGAGAGAAACCCAAATACTGATCATGAGTATTCTGAGCCCATGACACCCTAGCCATCAACTCCGGAACACCCATTTCGGGGAATTCAGAGGCCAACTTGGTCAACATTCCTTTCGTGGTTTGGATCATGCGCTCAACAAGAGAGATTTGCCAGTGGCTTTCAGCAGGAATTGTTTCCACCAAAACACCCCTTTCAGCCATGTATTGATCCAGATTATTACTACGCCAGGGTCCCCCAGGGTCCAGTCTCACCGTGTTAGGTTTTCCAAAAATGGGAAGCCATTGACTTTCATAGAATTCGATAAAGGTATTGCTTGAGGGGGAATTACCCTTACCGGTACCAAGGGATTTGACAATTCGAAACCGACTACCCTCATCAATAGTGGCTAAGAATTTCCATGATTCCCCAGTTTGAGGGTGTTGCCATTCCCCGACATCAGACTGAAACCTACTCCATTTTGGGGGGATGTCCTCCAAGGTGGCTTGATTGCGGGGTTTCACCCTACGATGTTCTTCACAAACAGGGCATCGAAACTGGTCAACAATTCGCAACACAGATTGGTGAGCTCCCCGTCTTTTCAAGGCCTGTTTCAAGTATGATTGACTACAGTGACCAGTCGCGGAATGGATTCTTTTCAACAGCTTCAGCACCCTGGAAGTTTCTTCACGACCCAAAGGATTATTTCCCAGTTGGATACCATCCCCAGGTTCATCTTCAGGTGACCCTTCTTCCCCAGCTAACCCAAACGGTTCCACTTCTCCCAAACAAGACTTTTGGGGTTCATGTATTCCCGTGACGTGAGCATGTGGGGAAGCAATCATAGGTTGAGTTCCAGGGGCCCCATCAATTAATTCATTGACCATATGAACATGATTTTCTTGATGAGAAAAATGTCCCAAAACCCTGGCCGCAAATTGGGGGGTGTAGTAAGCCGTAGTCCTACAAACTTGTTTTCCCTCACAAAGGCCATGTTTGTGGTTTCCCGGGCACTTCAGGGTCATATGACGAATCAATTCTTCACAATTCCCCAAAAGTTTCCATCCCTTGTGGAGCAGTTCCCCTTGTGGGTTTTTCAAACCAACTTGACATCCATGACAAACCCCAGTGACCGCACCCAGGGCTTCCAGTTCCTGAACCCAACTTTGGGACCAGGCTTCACACTTTTCGGACAACTCCACAACAAAAATGGAACCAATTTGGTGGGCTTCTTTGGCGATCTCACAAATCCCTTCATACTGTTTCCTCGCATGACTTCTTTTTTCCTCCAAAGACAACCTTTGTTGGGGATTCCGTTGGTTCAACCGTTGCATGGGACTGTAAGGACCACATTCGGGACTTAACCAAACCACTCTAGGTCGTTTTTCATGAAGAACAGATTTGATCAATTTGCGACCCTCAGCAGTCTCAACATCACCACCGTTCCACTGCGCAAGTCTTTCCGCTGACTGTGGTCCAAAAGTCTGGAGACAATGTTCAGTCAGCACACTGTTCGGTGAACAGCAAACCTCAAGAAGAAACAATCTATTGTACAGCACCAGATCCCACCAGTCCTTTTCTAGTGGTTCTGATGCTCCCAAGCTCATAGCCTTCAGCTCCCGGGAACTCAGCTGATGAGGGCACTTGGGTCTCATTTTGGTCTTCACTGTTTCTCCTCGGAGTTGGTCTTGCCCTTCTTGCCCTGACGGCGCAAGTCGCGGATTTGATCCTCCAAGGCTTGGATGCGATTCTCGGTCTCTGACTCGGAGAACATCTCCTCCTCCTTCTCGATGTTGGTGTGGTTCTTCTCGGAACTCACCAGGCTGAAGGACGAGGCTGACTCCATCCCGCTCGACGCTGGATGGATGCGCTCTGGAGCACTCTTGTTGCGAAGCTTGGCAAGGCCCCGAGGGTCCTTGCGGACTTCCTGAGCCCAGCTGGCATAGCGCTTCAGGCGCCAGTTTGCTGTGCCCTTCAGGCCACCGGTCTCCATCATGGTGGTGATGCACCAGTCCGTGTAGTTGGGATCGTTCAGGATCACCTCTTGGTACTCCATGGCACTGTGCTTGCCGAACTCCATCTTGTCCTCCCTGAGCGCAGGAGAAGCTTTCATGAGTTCTTCGTAGGCCCTGGCCTGCATTGACTTCAAGGTTTCGTTCCCGGTCAACTCCACGTTGTAGTGAAGCTCCAGGTAGGTCTTGATCTCTCCTTTGTTCTTGCAGGCTTTGCGCAGCTCCTTGAGCTGTTTCTGGCGGATGGTGCGCACAGAGGGCTCCTCGGACTGGTGGAGTTCCCACAGACGGCCCTCCATCTGTAGTCGAGTCCACCCTTCTGGCACGGTCTCGCCATAGGTCAGCAGCCTCTCGGTAAGGACGGCCTTGGAGAGGTACGGCATGGCTGTTGTCACTTGAACCACCTACGAGGGCACTATGTGTTTGAGCAAAGGCTATGTTGACATTTCGACGACATACGCAGGTGCACCAGTCCGCTGCGGGTTCTGTGAAAATGGCGTTCACGAACTGTGCATGTGACAGCTCAAGTGGCGTGGAATGGAAAATTGAAAGTGAAACACAGCTTATGTCTCCATGACAAAACGAATCTTGACCACTGGATTCTGTCTGTGACTGGCTGTGCATGTTGTGAGTTTGTATGTGAGCGTGTGTGCCATCAAGTTCATCAGCATCGGCATCATCATACATACCTTTCCTACCAACATTCTCAAAATTGTGATTGTCACACGGCACATGTTGATCAAAAACCTCCCGGGGTTCTCCTTTGTTTCCATTTGCCCCCGGAAGGAGTTGTCCCTACTCTTTACAAGACTCATGAAGGGAAGAAAAAGGTGAAAACCGTGGTGTGCCAACAGACAAAATGTCTTTGGTCAGTGGAAACAACTGGTGTCCACTGGGCGCTCTCTCCAACGGCACTACCACTGATGCATCTACGTTTCGAAAGATGGCTTCATCTTTCTCAAAATCAATGACGGCTCCTAAAGCCCTCAGAGCAGCCACACTCATCAGAACAGGTTGGCCTTCAATCTCGTGAACATGAACTCGCATCTCACCCAGAGTGTTGCCAAGGGGCACTGGAACCTTAGCGGTACTCAGGCATTGAGTTCGACCATTGTTCCCAAAGCGGAAATGTGGTCTTTCGGTTCTTTCCACTGCGATATCTCGAGATGGATCTTGATCTTGATTGAGCCTCATGATTTGTTCCATGGCCTCCACAGAAGCCACCGAGGAAGTGGCTCCGCCGTCAATGATGGCCTTCCCTTCTCGCAAGATCTGCTGCAAGGACAAGGCAGCTTGATCTTCCGTATTCTTCATTGCATGAAGTGAGACATCCGTAGCTCTGGGCTCACTGGTGCCATAGGCTGAGAAGGCTAAATGAGCTGATTGTGATCCTCGATCAGGAGCATGCTTGTCAGGACATTCTGATGTTGGATGATCGCCATTGCATCGAAAACACTTCTTGATGGACCCCTTTGAGTCTCCTTTGGATCGATCATTGCCGAAGTTCCTCTTCATGGGGAAAAACTGGCGGCTCTTCTTGAAGAGAGATTGTTTCTCTCTGGCCTCTCGAAGAGTCCTTCGAGCCACTTGGAAGGTCTGGTAGGCCTCTTCAGCATCTTTGACGAGATAGCCGTACTCATACTCTTCCTCCTGGGTCATGTCATTCGGTGGGTCCGTGTCCATGTCATTCATTAGGGCTTCGTCATCCTCATCCTCCACCATGAGAGCGGCGCCGCGAGCCATATCTCGCTTCTTCAGATCTTCTTCTGGCCAGGCAAGTCGAAGTGCATCCTTGACTCGGGTCGTGGTGAACTGGTTCTTCAAGTTGGCGATGATGGTTCCTCGCTCAGTGCCGTCCAACCCAGATCGTTGGAGGAGCATCCATGCCACCACAAAGTCTGGAAGGAATTTGTCAGCTTCCACCGAGGCAGTCACTGATACATCATACTTGCCCTGCGTCGAGCTCGTAGGCTGGGGTGGCTTTGGTTGATGCCATCCTCTCCAGGACCATGAGTCCCAGCTCCCATGATAGTCTGACCACCACCAGCCCTGGTCTCTGTGATATCCTTGCCAAGAGTCGTGAGCAGCTGAGGCTGATTCTCCAAGTTCCACATCGTCATCCTCACAAAGCAGACCTTTGGAGTTGAATGGACCATCGCCATCTCCAGGTGGAGAACTTTGTTGAGATTCAGCACCTGGATCGCCTTCTGCTCCACATTGGCTTTTCGTAGAGCTCGATCGGGTTCTTGTCGATGTCCCGAGGGCTCCATATTCCTGGATGGCTTCAGCCAAGGTCCGACGGGCTTCGAAGAGAGCCTCGTCGTGGCGGAGGATCCAATGGTTCATTGATTCCCCTCGCCGACGCTTGATGGAGTAAAAGAAACGAGTGATCATCTTTCCGGCTTCTGCCAAAGTCGGAGGAGTCACCTTGGTCTTGAGGTAGTCAAGGAGTTGCTGAGCCCCCATTTCATGGCTGATCCAGCCTGGCACCTGGTCTTGGACCGCAACCCTTGCAGTACCCTCCAGGGCGGCCTGAAGTCTCGGGCCTGCCAAACTACGTTTCTTCCACTCCAGCGTCTCCACATAGTTAAGAGCTGCACGCCGGTACGGAATGTAGTGCTCTGATGTGCCATCGAAGATCGGCACTCCTTCTTTCGTAAACCTGAGATCGCTCATGATCTCTCACCCTGGATCTTTCTGGAGATGCCAGCAACGACCTTGCTGGCAGAGCTCCGCTACCGTGCGAGAGCCAATCCCGGCGCGGCCGCCCTACAATCCCTTTTCCTGAGATACAAATGGGGGCTTGAGTCGGAATGTCCAATCGACCATGTCTATGTGATGATTGTGACCCAGTGGAATCTGCATCATATATATATATAAATATCATATATATCATATATATATATATCATATATATATATATATATCATATATATATATCATATATATCATATATATATATATATCATATATATATCATATATATCATACATATCATATATATCATATATATCATACATATCATATATATCATATATATATATATCATATATATCATATATATCATATATATATCATATATATCAAATATATATGATATATATATATATCATATATATCATACATATCATATATATCATATATATACATATCATATATATCATATATAATATATATATATATATATCATATATATAATATATATAATATATATATATCATATATATCATATATATATATCATATGTATCATATATATCATATATATCATATATTTCATACATATCATATATATCATTTATATCATACATATCATATATATCATGCATATCATATATATCATATATATCATATATATATATATCATATATATATATGATATATATATATATATCATATATATCATATATATCATATATATATATCATATATATCATATATATCATATATATCATATATATCATATATATCATATATATCATATATATATATATCATACATATCATATATATCATATATATCATATATATATATCATATATATCATATATATCATATATATATATCATACATATCATATATATCATATATATCATATATATATATATCATACATATCATATATATCATATATATCATATATATATATCATATATATCATACATATCATATATATCATATATATACATATCATATATATCATATATATATAATATATATATATATATCATATATATAATATATATACATATCATATATATCATATATATCATATATATATATATCATATATATATCATATATATCATATATATATATCATATATATCATATATATATATATCATATATATCATATATATATCATATATATCATATATATATATCATATATATGTCTATATATATATCATATATATCATATATATCATATATATCATATATATCATATATATATCATATATATATATGGCACATGTTTTGTGTGTATGTTATGATGAATCAACAATTTCCAGAACCGGGCGCCGAGGCTTTTGATCTCGGGCACGTGGGCTTTTCTTCGTTGTTGCATGGTTTCGCCCATTTTGGTTTTGCCTTCTCGGTGCTTGGCACCACCAAGTCCGAAGCCGAGTACTACGGACACCCAGGAAGTTTCTATGGGCATTCCGTGGGAAAAGCCCATTTTGTGTGGTAAAATGTCCAGTAAAAGACTGGACATTTTCAAATACAGTATGTTCAACAATTTTCATGGGCATTTTGTATCAACCGAAGATGTTCCAACTTTCAAAATTCATGCCACACTACCGACATGGATTTTTATCGCTGATCAATGCGATCATCATTTTCCCATACAATTTCCCATACAATCATCATATTTTCTCCATATAATGGACATTTCCCCCGTATTTTCCCTGTCTACTTGTCCAATATGTTTCCCAGATTTTTCCCATCCAAGGCTCGGCTCCGTTGGCTTCTATAGCCTCTCAGTCCGGAGACCCTGGAGAGAAATAAACTGTTTTTTTTGGGGGAATCCACAGGAAATCCAGGCTTTTTCCCATGATTTTTAGACATGAAATCATGGGGTAGTCCGGGTAGTGTTTTTGAATCTGGGTGATATCCAATGAAAACACTGGTGAACATTTTTAGACATTTTCTGGTTTAGACATTTTCACGGGTGATATCCAATGATGAGTGAATTGCAATGTGGAACCTGGTGAAAACTGCTCAAGCTGAGGTCTTGAGCTCCTCGAACCTTGATTTTTTGGTGTTGGTCAGGAGAGTGGTGACAGTTGTGGAGAATTCAACTGATTCGCTGCAGACACCATGTAGAATTACCGCATAGCAAAGCGCAAACACTAACGGTTTATGGATTGACACACCAAGGTGATGACTTTACAATAGAATTTGAGTATTTTGAGTTAAAATTTATCACTGTAGAAATTGACTCACAGCTGACAAAGCTGACATAGCTTACTTTCAGATCCTTTCAGATCGTCAGTGATGTCATTGCAGATGGATCCTTGTGCGACAGGAGTCCTGCCTGCCTCGACCTTGCCTTGTCAGTTTTGGCTTTCGCGCACGTTGGTTTTCCCACATCACTGCGAAGTTGTCCGGCAACCTGGTCTGAAATGCAGCCACCAGCTGGAACCAGCTGCGGATTTGCCCTGCAACATCTGCAACGTGCATCAAAACGAACCGTAGCAATGCAGGTTAATATCATATCACATCCAGCATCATCCAGCATCATCCAGCATCATCCAGCATCATCCAGCAAGTTTTCATCAGCACCGTTGAGAAACTTTGTCCAAGACATGTTGAAGCTTCGGTGTTGCTGGAGCACCTCACCTCCATTTGAGGTGCATGACTTGGTTTACTGCTTTCACTCTTCTCACGGTTGCTTGGCGAGGGCGCAGCGTGGGGCTGCGTTGGGGCCGGGAATGGGGAAGTACTCAAAATGGATGGTGAAAAATAGCAAGCATGTCCAGTTGTGTGAGTCCGTTGGCATCCACCTGGTGATGATTTCTAGATGTTTCCCGGAGAAGGACACTTCAACAGGCACCAACCTGGACACCTTGGGATCCTTGGGCCTTAAGCCGCAACCAAGATGCACCAAGGACGCGCTATGAATCCTCGATTTCAGCCCGGCAGCCCAGAGGATCCCAGAGGATCCCAGGGGCATTACATTTTGGAACAGTCGACTGTACAGCTTTGGAATCTTTGGATTTGTGCACAGCTTGGCCATAAAAACACTGCGGGATTTGTTGCTGGACCATCTTCCAGGCCTTTGATTTCGCACACTTGGGCTCTTCTTTGTCGATCCGTAGCTCTGTACAGCTTGGCAGCAGTCCGGGATGCCCAGGACATGATGACATGATTTTTTCACGGGGGATTTTCTTCGTGGCCTATCATTTTCCAGCATTTTCCAAGAGTTTCAAACATTTTTTCCCCTCCAACAGGAGATTGCAATGTCTTGAAACGTTGAAAAGTAGCTCCACATCAGGCCTGAGCGCTGCCGGCACGCTTCAAGTGCCCAACACCGTGCAGTTCAGCCCCAACTCGTGCGCCCAATGTTTTTTTGCCCCGAAAATTTCGGGACTTGTGGGACTTTCATTAAATCCATTAAACATCATCGAACCTATTAAACTTTGATTCTCATTGCCAGTAAGCCATTGTGGGATCATTATACCATGTTGAACTATTGAGAATGATTATCCTTTGATCACCGTTGAACTTCTATTCAACTCATGAAACTCATGTCTTCAAACAACTCTGAACAGAGCTGCAACGCCGCACCGGCGGTGCTTGGCATAATTTGGTAGGTACATGTACTACACCGGAACACAGATTCAGTGGTACATGGCGGGCACCAGAGTCACTGGGCTGCAGTTGTGTACTTCGAATCAGTCCATTTGAACATTTTTTTCAAACGGTAAAGCAGTGAAGCAGTGAACATCGATGTTTTTTTGGAAGATCGGAGAGTTTCAAACAAATAACAACTAAAGTACAAGGTTCTACCTGTAACTAAACTCAGTCTGTTCAGTTTGTTCATTGATTTTGCCCGCAATGTGATCGCGTCGCTGCCCGAGCGACTCCGAGGTTCTAGCCTTTGATGGCTCAGGAGGAACACTCCACAACACCTGGGTATCCAACACCGTTTTGCCACTCGGCCTCCGGATGTTTTGGCGCGCCGGTGATGTGAATTTTTTCAAAGGGCCATGGCCATGGCATTGTGAACATCCCATTGAAAATTACCAAGAAATCCCCATATTTTCATTATCATATATAATAATCATTGCTGATATACATATATATATATATTGTACAATCAAGAGGGATTGATGATGATTATTATGGATTATTCATGATCCCTAGTAGCCATGATCCCTATCAAACATCCCTGCCAGATTTCCTATCCCATCTGCAAAAACCGAAAAACACAAAACGAGGACGGTGTCAGACCGGCGCATGAAGAAGGACATCAAACCTCTTCAGCGCAGTCTGAGGGATCTCTTGTCTCCACAGGTGTGCCAAATTTGGACCACCACAACTTGGGACCCCCAAATTTGGCAAATTTTGGAACCACTTTGGTGAATACCTACTAGCATCTACCAGCATCTACCAGCATCCATTGATTTTGGCTTCGTCCAATGGGATATTTACCGAGCCGATCGTGCAGGCATCAGAGCCTGCTGCCACCGTGGCCCCAACGGCCCCAGCAGGTGCCCCCAAGGCGGGAAGATGGACCAAGAAACATGGGAAAAATGGAGAAATTCCACAGTGAAACTTACAGAAAAGTCATGGAACGATACATGAGTGATACATGAGGAACGATGATTTTTTTTTTTCCCGGGCTTTCCCTGTTGATGGAGGGTTTTGGGACAGAAATCCAATGAAATCCATACAGCTCCAATGGAAACATCCAAGAAATCAGGGTGATGATGCTGGAGCACTGTGGATGCTGCGGTTGGGATCCTCAACTCTTGGCCGAATTGCCAGTGCCAGCGATCGGGAAGTTTTTTTGCAGTAACATGCTGGATCCACTTTCTGCGGGCCATCAAGGGAAGCCGTAACCATGAGGGTCATGAGGAAATATTTTTATAGGCCATCAACTATAAATGGTATAGCTAATCAACTATAAATGGGCCATCACCACCATGAGGCAACTGCGACCAGTGTCCTACTACTTCAAGAAGGGCAGCGAGTCGAAGTATATGCGATTCGGCTTCATCGGTCGAGAGCTCAGTGAGAGAAAAAGAGTACCGAATTGTGCCTTTTCGATAGTATATATATATATATGTATATTATCTATATATATATATATGTATATATCATCATTATGTATATATATATATATATAGTACCCCCTACCCCCTTGCGACTTGCATCCGCCCGCCCTGCTTAGCCGATGAGCTGGAGTCCGTGGTTCCACAGGTGGTACGTCAGGGACGTGGGGCGCCAAGGTTTCCGAAGCAGAATCGACACAGCTTGGGGTTTAAAGATTGGGTAGACATGGTTAGGATTGGTTAGGTATGTTCAGCCTGTAAGATGAATTTGGATGGATTTGCTCCACAATTGCAATGGTCAACACTTAGAGGACGTTTTTTTCAATGGAATACGGCCCAGATTTCCTCCATAGACCCTCAGTTTTGAGGAAGTGACGAGCTGTCCAACCCCAAGTCTGTGGTCTACACCGTCTGGGCCTTTGGTAGCCGGCATGGACCATTGGCACATTGGAAGATCATGGCAGACCAGCCAGATGTCGTGGTTGCGTCGATCTCAGGACTTGATCGCCTTGCTCACTGCAGCGGCGCAAGGCAACGCGTTTGAGGTTTATCTGCGTACATCAACGATGCTCTCCGATGGAGATTTTAAGTGATTCTTGGGGATGCTTTGATTGAACACAGTGGAATTCTCGGAAATGTATTGAACTGTTATTGAACTGTTATTGAATAACAGTTCAATTCAATGGTAGATGGATGCATGGTCGCCAGGCCAACAGCAGGTCATTGAGCGGCAACAGGGCCGAATGGCGGGGACGCCCATGGGAAAAACCTTGGAATATTTATGGATATTTCAGGTATGTTGGGATTTGGTAGATATTTTTTGAACTACGGGATATACATATACCAATATATATATAATATGTATTTAATATAGCATAGAATAGATTATATTGTTTTATATTATATTATATTATTAATATTATATTATATTATATTATATTATGTTATTTTATATTATTATATTATATTATATTATATATATAGGTTAAAGGTGAAGTGTTCAACATGCAGAGTGACCAACATTTTGCTGCCTGAATCTTTTCAACATTTGCCGAAGATGTCGCTCTTTTCGTCTCCAAGTTTCGATGCTCAAGTCGCCAAGGACAAGCTTCTCAGCGACTTCGCGTCCTTGAAGACGGAACTGGTGAACTTGAAGCAGGTCACAACCGACCCATGAGATTTCCTCTGGTGGGGAATTCCCCATAATTAAACGAAGGTTTTAATGGGAACATGATCTATAAATGGGGAATTTTCGACTTTTCCATTGCCAAAGTATGGGTGTCACTTTGCGACTTCGGGCATGGTCCTGCCAATTGGATTGGAAGAAACTGAAACCGCATCATTCTGATTGCTCTAGAATGCAGGGTGTCATGTCATGCCTGTGTGTAAGAACTGCCACTGAGTTAAAGGAACTTCCTTTTCGTCTTTATGATCATCATTGCCATCAGTATTTGCCTTCTTGTTGGAAGGTGTTGAAGAGCACTTCCTATAGACACAGTCGCCACAACAGCCGCTGTGTTCGCGAGGAAGACTTCGAAGTTCCACGCAAGAACCTGCGGGGCGAGAAGAAAAAGAAGAAGTCGTTTCTCGGTGAACCATCGGATCAGTTTGTGACTGGGAATCCTTGAGAAAACTGGAAGTCTTGGCGTCATAGAATGGTCATAGAATGGTCACGGACATGGAGTCCAAAGCTCCGAATGACTCGAAACCAATGTTTGGGCAGAGACCATGTGCCCAGTGTGGAATGTGACACTTTTGACACTTTGGAGTCCAAGGAAATCTGGAAAAGGCGCCAAAAAGCCAGCGGACCTCGAGACGTGGCTTGGCAGAAAACGATCCCAAGGGTCCCGTCCCGGCGAAGCGACACAACATGACAAAACTCCACCACTTCCAGGAGCAATGCGACCGAGAATGCGACCAACCTCACTAACACCACTGAGTTTAGACCTGAGTGATTGCGAATGCCTCAAAATCCTCAATTTCTCATGAAATTTTGATGACTGATCAGCCCAACAACCCAAACATGGATCGTTTCATGATGTTTCATGTACAAAAATGTATGGGTTTCTGATTAAAATCCATGAAATCTTCATGAAATCCCAAAAAAGTTGATGATTTCAACATTTTACTCATCATTTCGCTCCTAGGTCCTTAGAAGGCGGCCTTACCCGCGGCCTGATCTGACCGCCCGGAGCCACACAGCGAATGGGATGATCCCACTTATTTTTTTTTGATCGCTTTGGACTATTTCAATATCATATAATAACATATAATAACACACACACAGATATATATATATATATATATACACAATCTGTTTTATAGAACTCATAAAAATAATTATGGTTTATATAAGGTATAGAAGTCATATGTGTTTTTTTTTTTACCGCATTTTTTCGAGGTCACTTCAGCCTCCGCGGCAGATTGCGGGCGCCGCCACCAGGGCTCCGCACTGGCGTTGAGCTGGGTCTGGGAGCTCAGATTTTCAGCAGATCTCGTCGTGGATCTCAGTGGATTTCTATGGTGAAAATGGTGAAATACCTGGAAAATCCCTGGAAAATCCCTGGAAAACTGGGGGAAATCTATGGACATGTTGACATGTCATTCACAAATGGATACAAATGGATACAAATGGATACAAATGCTTGATTGATGGCAAGTTGATGGTGATGATTGACCGTGAAACATGACGATTTAGCCATGATTTAGCCGCTATCCGCCAGAAACAAGAATGAGCCATGCCCAAACCATCCAAACTTTGGCACGGTTTACCATATGATAAGCAAAGTAGTAAACATTTTGAAGAACAGCAAAATTATCCAAGTTGAGCCCTACCCTTTATCCTTGGTGGTTGATGGAGATTTTGCATAGCTTTATCATGAACAAAAAGAAACAACCGAAAACGGGGGATCCATGGAAAATTATGTCAATTCTGTTCATTTTTGGGATATTAAGACATATGAAGTACAGGCTGACAGGCTTTTGATCCATATTCATGTTGGAAGAGGATAGTGGCGACTCAGATATTTGCCGTCGATGGATTGGTTTCATTTGACTTTGTGACAGCATTTTTACCATCGATGATCAAGGTTTCCCGAAGACTTCCATTCGGCCAAGTCTGGCAGTCAACCTTCAATATGGAAAACCGGCAATGTTATGGTGTCAGGAATAGCTGTGAACCCATAGTCTCGGTTTTTGTCACTGGCAAAATGGCCATGGTATTCCCCCATAAAATGGCGATGTTAACTATTTTCGGATAGTTAAATCATGTTAAAGCCATACAGGATGGTGCCCCCCAGTTATAAGTTGGTTTATAACCCCCATTAACTAGTTCGTTATATCTGCCATAAACCATAGTTATTGTATACAGAAACTTAGCTAACTATGGGGCAGCACCTTGTATGGATCCATATGGATATGGTGACCTATGGTGACCCTTCCAAGGTAAGGCGCGTCTGGGCGCTGGCTCGCCGCACGACATCGTGTCCGGAGACCTGATGTCTTGGCACTTGGAAAATGGAAGCAGATGATCTTCAGATGCACATGTTTTCTATTGATTTACTGTATAGATAACTATAGGTAACTATAGATAACTATAGGTAACTATAGGTAACTATAGATAACTATAGGTAACTATAGATAACTATAGGTAACTATAGGTAACTATAGATAACTATAGGTAACTATAGGTAACTATAGATAACTATAGGTAACTATAGATAACTATAGGTAACTATAGATAACTATAGGTAACTATAGGTAACTATAGATAACTATAGATAACTATAGGTAACTATAGATAACTATAGGTAACTATAGATAACTATAGGTAACTATAGGTAACTATAGATAACTATAGGTAACTATAGATAACTATAGGTAACTATAGATAACTATAGGTAACTATAGGTAACTATAGATAACTATAGGTAACTATAGATAACTATAGGTAACTATAGATAACTATAGGTAACTATAGGTAACTATAGATAACTATAGGTAACTATAGATAACTATAGGTAACTATAGGTAACTATAGATAACTATAGGTAACTATAGGTAACTATAGATAACTATAGGTAACTATAGATAACTATAGGTAACTATAGATAACTATAGGTAACTATAGGTAACTATAGATAACTATAGGTAACTATAGATAACTATAGGTAACTATAGATAACTATAGGTAACTATAGGTAACTATAGATAACTATAGGTAACTATAGATAACTATAGGTAACTATAGATAACTATAGGTAACTATAGGTAACTATAGATAACTATAGGTAACTATAGATAACTATAGGTAACTATAGATAACTATAGGTAACTATAGGTAACTATAGATAACTATAGGTAACTATAGATAACTATAGGTAACTATAGATAACTATAGGTAACTATAGGTAACTATAGATAACTATAGATAACTATAGGTAACTATAGATAACTATAGGTAACTATAGATAACTATAGGTAACTATATAACTATAGATAACTATAGGTAACTATAGATAACTATAGGTAACTATAGATAACTATAGGTAACTATAGTAACTATAGTAACTATAGGTAACTATAGATAACTATAGGTAACTATAGATAACTATAGGTAACTATAGGTAACTATAGATAACTATAGGTAACTATAGATAACTATAGGTAACTATAGATAACTATAGGTAACTATATAACTATAGATAACTATAGATAACTATAGGTAACTATAGATAACTATAGGTAACTATAGATAACTATAGGTAACTATAGGTAACTATAGATAACTATAGGTAACTATAGATAACTAGGTAACTATAGGTAACTATAGATAACTATAGGTAACTATAGATAACTATAGGTAACTATAGATAACTATAGGTAACTATAGTAACTATAGATAACTATAGATAACTATAGGTAACTATAGATAACTATAGGTAACTATAGGTAACTATAGATAACTATAGGTAACTATAGATAACTATAGGTAACTATAGGTAACTATAGATAACTATAGGTAACTATAGGTAACTATAGATAACTATAGGTAACTATAGATAACTATAGGTAACTATAGATAACTATAGGTAACTATAGGTAACTATAGATAACTATAGGTAACTATAGATAACTATAGGTAACTATAGATAACTATAGGTAACTATAGGTAACTATAGATAACTATAGGTAACTATAGATAACTATAGGTAACTATAGATAACTATAGGTAACTATAGGTAACTATAGATAACTATAGGTAACTATAGATAACTATAGGTAACTATAGGTAACTATAGATAACTATAGATAACTATAGATAACTATAGGTAACTATAGGTAACTATAGGTAACTATAGATAACTATAGGTAACTATAGGTAACTATAGATAACTATAGATAACTATAGATAACTATAGATAACTATAGGTAACTATAGATAACTATAGGTAACTATAGATTACTATAGGTAACTATAGATAACTATAGATAACTATAGGTAACTATAGGTAACTATAGATAACTATAGATAACTATAGATAACTATAGATAACTATAGGTAACTATAGATAACTATAGACAACTATAGATAACTATAGATAACTATAGGTAACTATAGATAACTATAGGTAACTATAGGTAACTATAGGTAACTATAGATAACTATAGATAACTATGGATAACTATAGATAACTATAGGTAACTATAGATAACTATAGATAACTATAGGTAACTATAGATAACTATAGATAACTATAGATAACTATAGATAACTATAGATAACTATAGATAACTATAGATAACTATAGAAAACTATAGATAACTATAGGTAACTATAGGTAACTATAGGTAACTATAGATAACTATAGATAACTATAGGTAACTATAGATAACTATAGATAACTATAGATAACTATAGATAACTATAGATAACTATAGGTAACTATAGGTAACTATAGATAACTATAGATAACTATAGATAACTATAGATAACTATAGGTAACTATAGATAACTATAGATAACTATAGGTAACTATAGGTAACTATAGATAACTATAGATAACTATAGGTAACTATAGGTAACCATAGATAACTATAGATAACTATAGATAACTATAGAAACAATGAATATTTTACAATTCTTTTCCCCTGACGCTCAAGACCCCAGGCACTCCGGCACTCTGCGAGGGATCCCCTCGTGAGGCCCAAGTGGAAACAGTGGACATCAGTTGAGGATGACGAACAGTTGATGAATTTTGATGTTGGATTGGATCACACTGATTATGGAGGATTGGATGCACCATCAGTTGATGAATTTTGATGAGTTGGATTGGATGACTCTTGACTATACTTGATGATCCTTGACGATACTTGATGACTGGTTCTGCTTCATTTGCTTTAAACATGTGGAGCTGCAATTGGTCCAGGCTGGCTTTCTTAGTGGCGCGCCTGCCTGTCCCGAGAGGCGACCGGTCGTCCCTCTTTCAGACTCTTTCAGATGGACTCACTGAATCCGAAAAACTTCCAGTTGAGTCCATCAGTTGAGTATCATCTGAATCATCTGGTAATTTAACATAGCTATTGAACATGGCCATAGAAATAGTGGATCTTCCCATTAAACATGGTGTTTTTCCATAGCTATGTTAAATTACCAGAGGGTATCATCTATGACGGATGATTTATGGATATTTATTGCCCTTATGGCCTTGGATCATCTATGGCTTATCATGGCTTCTCCAGCCATTTTTTGTGGGTGCATCAATTTTCCGCTACCTGGCAAGGTGAGAGAGATACCAGCCAAGACAGTCTGGAACCTGGGATGTTTCCGGTGAGCTCATGTGCTAAACCCTGGGACCAAAACATCCAGAAACCATGCAAAACTACAAAGAAAAACCATACCCCACGCACATCCATTCACATGCAGTCACCCAATTTCACCGAAATTTTGGAGCGGGAGGATATCAAAGGACCAATTAGACCCACAACGGGGAAAATTCTGAGGTCGGCCCAGCTTGGGGGCCCTGTCCGTGGCTGAAGAAATTTTGAGTACCCCCATCAGCTGGATGAAATGACAGCAACGGAGATGCCTAGGCCCCCCCCCCCTATCGACAGCTTCAACATAGCTGGAAATCAGATAGAAAAAGTAAATGCTATGTTGAAGTGACTACTTCCTACTGCTTTTC